TGAAATAGTTATTCCCCAGAGGATGGCGCTTGAGGGAAGGGAAGACTCCGTGGGAGAGGCCTCCTATATGCTGTACATGCAGGGCCTGAAACAGGTGATTCATCTGAAGGTGAAGAAAGACTATTTTGTGAGTAACTTCCCAGTCTTCAGCTACCATAATGGGACCGTGGGCCAAGAGACCCCGTTGGTCTCCCACGACTGCCACTACGAAGGCTACATAGAAGGAGCCCCGGGCTCTTTTGTGTCTGTCAACACCTGTTCCGGCCTCAAAGGGGTCCTGATTAAGGGGGCGCGCTCCTATGGCATTGAGCCCCTGGAGTCTTCACAATGTTTCGAACATGTGCTGCACGCCATGGCACCCCACGCTCCAGTGTCCTGCAGTGTCCCCTCTGCTGAGGGCCTGGGGGTGCCCACCAGCAGGAAGCCACCTAAGCTACAGGCGCCGTCCTCCTTGTGGTCCCACACCAAGTATGTGGAGATGTTTGTGGTGGTCAACCACCAGCGCTTCCAGATGTGGGGCAGTAACGTCCATGAGACCGTCCTGGGAGTGATGGACATTGTCGCTCTGGCCAACAGCTTCACCAGGGCCCTAAACACACAGGTGGTGCTGGCTGGGATGGAGATTTGGAACGAGGGGGACCTAATGGAGGTCCCGGGGGACTTGGAAGGGACCCTGAGGAATTTCAACAGCTGGAGACGACAGAAGCTCTTGGGTCGTGTGAAGCATGATGTTGCCCACATGATCGTTGGGCACCATCCTGGGCAGATCATGGGACAGGCCTATCTCAGTGGTGCCTGCTCCAGTGGTTTTGCGGCAGCTGTTGCATCCTTCCACCATGAGGATGTCTTCCTGTTTGCAGCTCTTATGGTCCACGAGCTGGGGCACAACCTGGGTATTGAGCATGACCATCCTGCCTGCATTTGCAAAGAGAAGTACTTCTGTCTCATGCATGCAAATATCACAAAAGAAAGTGGCTTCAGCGACTGTAGCTCCTACTCCTTCTACCAGTTTCTCCACGAGCACAAAGGGATGTGTCTATTTAACAAGCCAAGGCACAGAGTCCGCACACGTAGGAATGCCGTCTGTGGAAACGGTGTGAGGGAGGCCTCTGAGGAGTGTGACTGTGGTCCTAACTGTGACAGTAACCCATGTTGTGATGTAACATGTAGACTGAAGCCCGGCGCTCAGTGCAACGGAAGACTTTGCTGTGCCGACTGTCTCCATAGAAGGAAGGGATACATCTGCCGGTCTGCTCAGGATGAGTGTGATCTTCCGGAATACTGTCATGGTGACTCAGGAGAATGCCCTGCAGACACGTATAAACAGGATGGCACTCCTTGCCAGAGAATCAACTACTGCTACAGGGGTCGTTGTATGAACCCTGATGAGCACTGCAGGACTCTCTATGGGATATCTGCAAGGTCCGCGTCAGAAGACTGCTACCAATTAATGAACAGCAAAGGGAACCGTTTTGGAAACTGTGGTCGCCCCACTAATACCGACCCAGTTTATATTAAGTGCATCGATGAAGATATATTCTGTGGGAAACTTATTTGTACAGATGTTGTAGTTATACCATCAATCAAACCCCAACACACACTCATTCAGATCCCCTTTAAAGATGACTGGTGCTGGAGCATGGATGCCTACACTAGTACTGACATCCCTGATGAGGGAGATGTGCAGCCTGGCACGTACTGTGCCCCAAACAAAGTCTGTATGAATTATTCCTGTGTTGATCACACTGTGTTAAACTATAACTGTGAGCCAGCTACAATGTGTAATGGGAAAGGTGTGTGCAACAATTTAAGGCACTGCCACTGTGAACCTGGCTTTGCCCCTCCTGACTGCAAAAGACAAGGAGAGGGGGGTAGTGTGGACAGTGGCCCTGTTAATGTGCTCAATTTTGAACAATCAAGTGAAGGTAGCACTCATTTGAGAAGCCAACAGAGAGGTGACCTTGGCAAGTTGGTGTTCATACTACCAGTATTTCTCATCGTATTCTTTTTAGGCCTAGTTATTTTTACTCTTTTAAGTCGTAAAGGGAAACCAACAGAGGCTACACCTGTGACTCCACCAGAGGCCCCACCTGAAGAACCACCAGGGGCCCCACCTGAAGAAGAACCACAGAGGGCCGAAGAGTCCGCACCAGAAGATGAACATGTGATGGAAACCGAACCAGAGTAATAGCCGTGAGAAGACGGCAGCCAGGTTTAACATCCAAGATGCTGCACTGGAAAGGGTGGAGGGAGGGTCAGTGAAGCCAAGGTTAAGTAGGAATTGATAGTTCCACTGGCTCTGACGGAGAATATATACGTGAGGAGGGACCCCATTTAAAATATTCATAATAATTTGGTTATATATTCATTTATAAATGAATATATAAAAGATACTGGCTCTTCCCCCCTGCTTTTTCACATTTCATGAACATTTTACTTATATTCTTCTCTACTTCACTGCTATCAATGTCTTATCTCAATAAGGCCAGCCTTTTAGCCACCTGTTTTTCAAAGAATGCCAAATCAAATGTACATTGTTTCACTTGGAATAGTAAAATGTGCCTGCATTTAGACCTTCCTACAACAAGACTACTCATGCCATTCACAACCACCCACAGTGTGAGGGACATTTGTAATGTGACTGATTGTCTTAATTACCACTGACAGTTTTTCTTCCTGAAATAGGGATGCTTTTCGGTGCATTAAAGGCTATTTTCATATGAAACATCACTTAAAGCTGCGTGTAGCATTCTGGGTGGATCTCCATTATTTTTAGACTCTGAAAGGGGTCAGATGGGACCACAGCGGAGGGGGTACAGAAGCCCTTCCACATGTCAGGTCACAAAGTGCTCATTCCATACCTTTGGCTCTTTCAGTGTCTCCGTTTCTCTGTTGACGTTATATTTTGTCTGTTGACAGTGGAAAGGAACATCTCCAAATATACATAACAAAGATTGGAGGTGTTTGTTTTTTTTTCACAGAAGACAGCACAAAGGGAGGATAATGTCACTCATTCTGTCCAAAATGGCTACCACTTATACCCATTATCTTCACTGCATCCTGCAAGGCCCTGTCTCAGTCCTCCATCTAGTACATGAGCAAACGGAAGCCAAAGGGGCGAAAGGGGTCCAGCGCTAGGAAGAGGTGGACCCTGAGTGTCTCCCCAGGTCTGACTGAATGGACACTTCCACTGCCTCCAGGAGCCCTAAGGTGCGCAAAGTGAGAGGGAGGGACCAGGCACGGCCTCGGCAGTCTACAATGTAGCTTTTCCTCAGGGACTTGAATGAAAGCTTGACAAATGGATGCTGCTCTCCACTGTGAACCTGCTACAGTGTACGGTCATCGTCAGTCTCTGCTGCAATTGGCTCCTGCCTTCATGGAGAGGCAGGTTTGCACTTTATTTGGCTCTGTGGTCCCAGTACACTGTAAGTGCTTAATAAATGTTTCCCATGTGGATGATCTGACCATCCAAACAATCTTATGCAATGAAATTGACACATGGTCCAGATAGGGTTTTCCTGGCCATAAGCTTACTTTTTAAAAAATGTTATTTTTTAATTTTATTGGGGGCTCATATAACTCGTCACAATCCATACATCCGTCGCGTCAAGCACATTTGTACATTCGTTGCCCTCATCATTCTCAAAACATTTGCTCTCCACTTAAGTCCTTGGTATCAGCTCATCTTTTACCCCTCCCTCGCCCCTCCCGTCTCCCTCATGAACACTTGATAGTTTATAAATTATTATTTTGTC